AAATTCAAAGAACGCGAAGAGCGGCAGCCCCTTAAATGTAAACGTCCATCCAGTGAGACTTACAACTGCCCATTTACATTAGCTGAACTTAAGGCATCTCTTCCGTGCTGCAAAACTCGGCGCCAGGTGTCGATCGTATAACATACGAAATGGTCAAGTACCTTCACCCCGAATCACTAAAAACAGTCCTAACTCTCTTTAATATCACGTGGGCAGCTGGGTATATTCCATTGTCATGGAAATAAGCTATAGTCATCCCAGTACTTAAACAAGGCAAAGATCCGTCCTTGGCCGCCAGCTACAGGCCAATAGCGCTAACAAGCTGTCTATGCAAACTATATGAGAAAATGAAAAACCGGCGCTTAATCCACTTTCTAGAAAGCAACTGTATACAAGACGCCCCTTCAGTGTGGTTTCAGAGAGGGGAGGTCGACAACAGACCACCTTGTTCGCATAGAGACATACATCAGAGATGCATTTATTCATAGGCAGTTCGTACTTTCGGTATTCCTAGACTTAGAGAAGGCGTACGACACCACATGGATATTCGGGATTCTCCGCAATCTTGTCACAATGGGCATCCGTGGGAACATGCTAAACACAATTAAAAGTTATTTGTCTAACCGAACCTTTCACGTAAAAGTGGGAAATGCTCTCTCTAGAACTTTTACCCAAGAGACTGGTGTTCCGCAAGGGGGCGTGCTTAGTTGCACACTCTTTCTTGTAAAAATGAACTCCCTGCAGTCAGTCATTCCAAGCGCGATGTTTTATTTCGTGTATGTTGATGATGTGCAGATGAGTTTCAAATCATGCAATATGTCTATCTGCGAACGGACAAGTGCAGCTTGGAACGAATAAATTCTCTAAATGGGCGGATGAAAATGGTTTTAAAATAAACACGAAGGAAAGTACTTGCATACTTTTCTACAACAAACGAGGGGTAATGCCACTACCAAATGTTGCGATCAAGGGAGACCAACTCTCTGTGAGCAGCGAGCATAAATTCCTGGGAACCACTTTAGATTCTAAGCTGACGTTTATTCCCAATAATAATTATGTCAAAATGAATTGTTTGAAAGCGATGAACGTCCTAAAACTCCTGTCGCGTACAACATAGGGTAGTAATCGAAAGTGCCTCTTAAAGTTATACAAAAGTCTTGTCGGGTCGCGCCTTGATTGTGCCTCTATAATTTATCATTCCGCAACGCCAAGTGCATTAAAAATCTTAGACCTCGTTCACCATCTGGGTATCCGACTTGCAACCGGTGCTTTCAGGACAAGTCCGATCCAGAGCCTCTTTGTAGAGTCGAATCAGTGGTCTCTTCACCTGCAGCGATCCTATAGCAGTTTCACATATTCTATAAAGGTACGCGCAAACATCAAGCATCCATCTTATTTAACTATAAACGATATGACCGCTGCCACCCTCTTCCATAATCGCCCCACAGTGAGAAAGCCGTTCTCTTTGCGTGTGAGCAACTTAAGTGAGGAAATGAGTGTTTCGCTGCTAGAACTTTGTCCTACGCCCACAGCGATACTTTTACCGCCGTGGCAGTGGCAGGTTTATACACTGTGACACCTCATTTGTCGAGATCACTAAACATGCACCAGAAGCACATATTAAAATGCATTTCTGAGAACTGCAGTCCAAGTACTCATGCGCAGAGGTTTATACCGACGCTTCTAAGTCGCATGCAGGGGTGGCTTATGCAGCCGTCGGACCATCCTTCTCAGAATCCAGTGTGCTGCACCCGGGAAACAAGTATATTTACGGCTGAGGGTTATGCACTATTGTCGGCTGTGAAGCGTATACGGAAATCAAACATACAAAATCAATTATATTCACAGACACATTAAGCGTCGTAAATGCATTAGGATCACTTTTCAGATTGAGAAATACGGTAATTATTGAGCTGTATTCCGTCCTATGTACTGCGTACATGTCCAACCAGCATGTTACTATTTGCTGGGTACCTGGCCATAGAAGCATCGAGGACAATGTGTTAGCTGACGTAATGGCCACCTCAATTATATTGCGCGCTATTAACCCCACCGCTACTGTCCCTGCAACTGACCTAAAACCCTTCCTACGTAAGAAACTGCGAAACCACTGGCAACGCTTGTGGGACACAGAAATAAATAATAAGCCTCACTTGATTAAGCCGCGGTTGGGTTACTGGCCCTCCGCTACAAGAACATGGCGAACTGATGTCCTATTCTGTCGCCTCAGAATAGGACACACCTATGGTACCCATAGCTTTCTGCTGACTGGCGATGAACCTCCTACTTGTGGTAGATGTGGTGAGAGGCTAACCGTCCTCCACGTCCTCGTGGAGTGTCCTGAAGCTGAAAGTGAGAGAAAAAATATTTTGCTTTAGTTTACCGCTATAATCTTCCTCTACATCTGATTATGTTTCTCCGTGAAAAGTCGCTTTTTGATGCAAAATCAGTTTTAAGCTTTTTAAAGGATGTAGTATTGAATGTTTTTAGCCCAACATTGAATGTTTTTAGCCCAACAGGTTCATAGCGCATCCTCTGTTCAGAGGATGCCGCAGTGATAGCAGCTTTCAATGAGCCCAGGCCTCCATGCTCTTGTTTCAAGGGCTCTGTCGAGGCACTGGTGCTCCATGCAAAGTTTTTATTTCACATACATATCACTTTTAAACCATTTTATGTTTCCATAGCACACATCATTTGTCATTGCCATAAGTTTACTATATATATATATTTTTATGCACCTACAGCGACTGTTTTTAGGCCCATTTACAGCCACGTCACATCTGCTTTATCTACACTGCACATTGCACAGTTCATCATCATCGCTCTGGCGCTCTTTGGCCACATCTGGCCTTTGCGCCAATAAACTCCAATAATCATCACTGTCTGTTAGATGTCATTATTATTGTGTTAAAACACGGAAAAACGAGCCCTTAGGTATACACTTCTTTCCCTTATTTCATTGAACGAGGGTCTCGTACTGGCAGACTTGGAGTGTTTAGGTTGTATAAGAGGGACAATTAATCAGCTGCCCGCTCATAATAAAGTCGCGTGCCACGGGACGCCAAACATGCACATAAGAGTGTTTTTACACTCGTCGCTCGGCTTACAGATGGCACTGACTGTCACTTCTACTTCTAAATTCACATGTAAACCCAAAAAAGTGGATGAAGGGAAGGCCACTGTGAGAGCTCAGTGGTTAGAGCATCGAACGCGTTATTAGAAGGTCGTAGGTTCGATTGCTGCTCACGGCTGGTTATTTTTTCATCCACTTTTCTTTCTTCTCATTTAAATTTTATTGGTTCTAATAACTTCCCCTGTACATTCCTTGGCATTACTGTCTGTTAGATCTCATTATTATTGTGTTAAGACACGGAAAAACGAGCCCTTAGGTTTACACTTCTTTCCCTTATTTCATTGAACGAGGGTCTCGTACTGGCAGACTTGGTGTGTTTAGGTTGTATAAGAGGGACAATTAATCAGCTGCCCGCTCTTGATAAGTTCACGTGCCACGTGACGCCAAACATGCGCATAAGAGTGTTTTCACACTCGTCGCTCGTCTTATAGATGGCGCTGACTGTCACTCCTACTTCTAAATTCACATATAAACCCTATAAACCCAAAAAGTGGATGAGGGGAAGCCGCTGTGGTAGCTCAGTGGTTAGAGCATCGAACGCGTTATTCGAAGGTCGTAGGTTCGATTCCTGCTCACGGCTGGTTATTTTTTCATCCACTTTTCTTGTTATTTACATTCCATTGGTTATAATAACTTCCGCTGTAGATTCCTTGGCATTACTGTCTGTTAGATCTCTTTATTATTGTGTTAAAACACAGAAAAACGAGCCCTTAGGTATACACTTCTTTCCCTTATATATATATATATATATATATATATATATATATATATATATATATATATATATATATATATATATATACACACAGATATATATATATATGTATTATATATATATATATATATATATATATATATATATATATATAAGAAGGACCAAAGAGAGGACATAGTAGTCGGCGCTTTCTTGGGTCCCCTCTTTTCGGTTGCATTGATTTGTTCTCATAATCTTTTCTGCTTAAATTAAACACCTCTGCGGGAGAGATGGCGCACGTATGCGCAACTCTGCTCATCTAGTAAGCATACACAGTAACTTTAAATGGATGGATGGATAGATGGATGGATGGACGGATGAATATGGCTGTACCCTTTAAATCGGGCGGTGCCTGGTGCCCCCAAGCCGTAATAATTATTGACCCAAAAACTAGACTTATTTTTTTTCTTTAAATAGTGAGGTTGAGGATTCGTACTTTGCAGCGAACGGTTTAATCTTCACTCGTGTCTTGCTTTTGCCACCAATCAGATAACCTCCTTCTAGTTAATTCTACCTGCTTAAAGTCTATTTTGCCCTCCCGGTCCCTAAATCCACAGTGCTTTGAAAACTCTGCGCCATCATCCTGAACTATAGGGTGAAGCCCTTTACAGAACATTATCAAGTGTTCGGCAGCTTCTTCTTCCTCTCCACGTGCACTGCATACCGTGTCGTATTTGGCCCGATATGTCTTGGTTCGCAATACTCCCGCCCTGGAATCAAGCAGTGGAGAACTACCCCGAGTATTATCATCATCATCATTGTTGTAGCGTGACGTCACTTATCACTGCGCACCTAGTGCGCGCATTCCTGTGCGACCGATCACGTGGTTCTGCGCCTATATATGGTGCGTCTTCTAATAAACTTATCAGTTGCTTCTTGGTATGCTGTCTGCTGCTCACGTTATTACACTGGCGACGAGGATGGGATTCGCCCCCTTGTACTAGCTCAGTACGAAGCAGTATTGCGGGCGATCGGCGGTCGACAGCCATGGACCAGAAAACAACGGCAGCCATGGCCTGGGACGGTTGAACTCGGCGGCACTACCTTCGGCAAGAGGCAACGCAGTCGTCGGGGAAAGCAACCCGATAAGTATACTGCACTTTTACTGAACAGTGGCACGTCGTCGGCACTGGGCTGGTCCGGCGAGCCGGAGGCAGCTGCTCCGGCTCGCCGGACCAGTGGCGCGACTAGGCAAGCTAGACGAGTTCGACGAGAAGGATCAGAATTTTGAATCCTATCTGGAGCGTTTTGAGCACTTCGTCACCGCAAATGACATCAGAGAGGAAAAGAAGCTGGCAGTATTCTTGAGTGTGATAGGACCACGAACGTATGAGGTGCTCAAAAGTTTGGTAGTACCCGCTGTTCCTGGGGACAAGTCTTTTGAAGAGGTCACAGTGCTGTTGAAGAAACACTATAGCCCACAGTGCTCGGTCATTGCCGAACGTTGCAAATTTAACAAGCGAGCACAAGAAGAGCAGGAAAGCGTCGAGGACTTCATAGTGGCCTTAAAACAGTTAGCAAGGAAGTGCGATTTCGGTCAGTTTCTGCAAGACGCGCTGCGAGACAGAATAGTGGCAGGCATAAGACGCGAGGAAACGCAACTCGCCCTATTTGCTGAAGAAGATTTAACCTTCGAAAAGGCGTGCAAGATAGCCCAGGACCGAGAGCAGGCTGCGCGACAGACAGCGTTACTTCATGCAGAAGGCAAGGAAGCGGCTTTTTATGCAATGGCGATAAGAGGAAAAGGAAGCGAAAAGAAATCGAAGCTTCGGAAGCTCAAGGAAGCCAAGCGAGTTTGCGAAAGATGTGGCAAGGCGCATGCGGCTAGTGTTTGCTGGTATAAGAACGTCCAGTGTCACAGCTGTTCTCAAATCGGTCATCTACAGAAGATGTGTCCAAGTAATCGCAGAGAACTCAAGACTGCAAACGTGGTGGACTGCTCTGATAGTGACTCTGAATTAGATGTGTACCATGTTATCAATACCGTGCGTTCTGGATATGAAGTGCAGCTAAACGTAGAAGGGCAAGACCTCTGCATGCAGATTGATACGGGAGCAGCTGTAACACTAATTCCTGAGAGTGTGAGGCTGAACGCATTTCCTCATGTCAAGTGCGAGCCATCTCGAGTCACCCTAAAAACATACACTGGGGAACCTGTTCCAGTAAAAGGGCAATGCAACGTTTCCGTTACGGTGGGAAAACAGTCTTTGCGGCTACCCGCTATTATCGTCAAGGATAACGGCAAGCAGCTACCATTGCTGATGGGGCGAAGTTGGCTTGAAAGGCTCGGGCTTGACTGGAAAAGCGTGTTTGCTATAAATGTAAGCGACTCTCACAAGGTAGAGGCGGTTAAAAAAAAGTTCCCAGGGGTGTTTTCTAAGCAACCTGGAAAAGTAAAAAACTATCAAGCAAGGATAGTTTTAAGCCAGAATTGTACGGCTATTTTTGGCAAGGCCAGAAACGTCCCATTTGCGCTTCGAGATAAAGTGGAAGGCGAGCTAGAAAGGCTAGAGAAAAGCGGTGTTATACGCCCCGTAAATCGGAGCGATTGGGCCACGCCAGTAGTCGTAATCCAAAAGAAAGATGGTTCACTGAGGCTGTGCGGGGACTACAAAGTCACCATTAATCCTGTTTTAAAGACCGACCACTACCCATTGCCTAGACCGGAAGATTTGTTCTCTGCCATAGCTGGCGGCAGAGTGTTTTGTGTGTTGGATCTTTCGGCCGCGTATCAGCAGATTCCGCTCACTGCCGAGTCCCGACCACTGCTAACTATTAATACGCACAGGGGGCTGTTCGAGTTCCAGCGCTTATCATTTGGGGTAGCCAGTGCGCCAGCCATTTTTCAGTCCTTCATGGATGAGGTGCTCAAAGGCATACCGCACGTGGGATGTTACATAGACGACGTCATTGTGTCGGGAAAAGACTTAGCCGACTGTCAAAAAACGTTGGAACTAGTCCTGCAGCGGCTGAGTGACTACAACGTGACACTGAAAGAGGAAAAGTGTCGGTTTTTTCAGAGCACTCTGACTTATCTCGGTCACACTGTGTGCGCTGAAGGTATATATCCTACAGAAGAAAAGATAAAGGCGATCACAGAAGCGCCAGAGCCCACTTGCCAAACAGAGCTAAAGGCTTATCTCGGCATGTTAACCTTTTATGCAAAGTTCTTAAGTAACCTTGCCTGCGTGGCAGAGCCATTGTACCGTCTGTTGCGCAAGGGCGAAAGGTGGTCGTGGACACGGGAGTGTAGCGAAGCATTTGCTTCTACGAAACTGTTACTTGTCAAGAGTAATGTGCTCACTTTTTACGATGTGGCGAAACCAATGGCTATGACATGTGACGCTTCGTCGTATGGATTGGGGGCTGCCATTTTTCATGAGACCGCAGAGGGACACGAAAGGCCAGTGGCATTTGCTTCTAGAACACTTACAGCCGCAGAGAAAAACTATGCTCAGTGCGAACGCGAAGCATTAGCACTGATGTTTGGGTTAAGAAAATTCCACCGCTACTTGTAAGGACGAGAGTTCACTCTTTATACAGATCATCAGCCATTGCTCGGAATATTAGGCCACGACAAGCCGGTGCCTGCGCTTGCTGCAGCTCGAATGCAAAGATGGGCAATTACCCTGGCAGCGTACCAGTATAAACTAAAATACCGAAAGGGAAGAAATGTTGAAGTGGCTGACGCTCTGTCTCGGCTTCCACGGCCTATTGTAGCGGCCGATGAACCTTCCGAGTGTCTCTTGCTATTTGACAGCATGCCCCTCAAAGCGGATGACGTAGCGCGAGCCACACGACGTGATCCCACCTTGTCTCGCGTGACGCACTTCATCTTAAATGGATGGCCTTCAGAGTGCTCTGAAGCATTTAGACCATTTTATTCCCGGCGCGACGAGCTATCAGTAGAGCAAGAATGCATAACGTGGGGATCAAGGGTGATCATACCTGATAAGCTCCAGCTACAGGTCTTGCAGCTATTGCATGAGGACCACCCGGGATCTAGTCGCATGAAAGCGTTAGCAAGAAGCTTTGTGTGGTGGCCTGGCCTCGACCTTTCGGTTGAGAGCTACGTTCGACAATGTCAGGTTTGTCAGGCCGTCCAAAAAGCTGCTTCACCGGTTCCTTTGCAACCATGGAATTATCCCACAAGGCCCTGGCAACGCGTGCACGTCGATTATGCGGTAAAGGGCTCTCAGGCGTTCTTGGTTCTCGTCGACGCGTTCTCTAAATGGATCGAGGTCTCGCCTATGTCATCCACTACTGCTAACAAAACCATTGAGAAGCTACGTAATATGTTTGCCGCGTATGGTCTGCCAGAGGTACTGGTGAGTGATAATGGACCGCAGTTCATTTCCGAAGAGTTCGCGGCCTTCTTGAGTGTAAACGGTGTAAGGCATGTCAAGACACCTCCTTATCACGCGGCTTCTAACGGAGCGGCCGAGCGTTTAGTGCAGACTACCAAACAAGCACTGTCAAAGCATGTCTTGCAGGACAAAGCTAGCCACCACAAACATTCATTTCGGGAACGCTTGGACAGCTATCTAATGAGTTACAGGACTACTCCGCACAGTACCACTCGCCAGACCCCGGCAGAATTATTCTTGAAAAGACAGCCACGGGTAAAGCTGTCATTGCTAAAACCAGATTTCGAGCTCTCCATGCGGGAGCAGCAGCAACGTACCAAAGTGCAAAAGGACATGTCTAGGGGGGTTCCGTGATGTTTTGCTGTGGGGGACGCTGTGTGGGTGAAGACTGTGCGAGGTGAAACAGTGTCGTGGGAAGATGGTGTCGTGACACAGGTTATCAGTCCCGTAACCTATCTGGTGAAAGTGTCGCAGGCGGTGCGATTTACGCATTCGGACCACATCAGAGCCCGCCACGGAAGCCAGGATTCTTCAAGTTATCCGCAGGCACAACCTGCTCCAACGGCATCCGTAGACACGACTCCACCGACGGTTCCGATGGCGTGTGGGCCAGTCGCCGGGTCGCCTCTCGTAAATCCACACGCAACCGACTCTGCGACGTCCGATCACGTGGTTCTGCGCCTATATATGGTGCGTCTTCTAATAAACTTATCAGTTGCTTCTTGGTATGCTGTCTGCTGCTCACGTTATTACAATCATCATGATCATCAGCCTGACTACGTCCACTGCAGGACAAAGGCCTCTCCCATGTTTTGCCAGTTAACCCGGTCCTGTGCTTCCTGCTGCCAATTTATACCCGCAAACTTCTAAATCTCATCTGCCCACCTAACCTTCCGTCTCCCCCTAACCCGCTTGCCTTCTCTTGGAATCCAGTTAGTTACCCTTAACGAGCAGCGGTTGTCCTGTCTACACGCTGCATGCCCGGCCCCTGTCCTTTTATTCTTCTTGATTTCAGCTATATTATCCTTAACTCTCGTTTGTTACCTGATCCACTCTGCTCTCTTCTTGTCGCTTAAGGTTACACCTACCATTTTTTTCCAATGCTCGCTGCGTCGTCCTCAATTTAGGCTGAACCCTCTTTGTAAGTCTCCAGGTTTCTGCTCCATACCTAAGTACCGGCAAGATACAGCTGTTATATACCTTCCTCTTGAGGGATAGTGGCAATCTATCTGTCATAATTTGAGAGTGCTTGCAAAATGTGCTCCACCCTATTCTTATTCTTCTAGATACTTCAATCTCGTGGTTCGGCTCCGCGGTTATTACCTGCCCTTAGTAGACATAGTCTTTTATAACTTGAAGTGCACTATTACCTATTTCGAAGCGCTGCTCTTTTCCGAGGTTGTTGTACATTACTTTCGTTTTCTGCAGATTCATTTAAAGACCCACTTTTCTGCTCTCCTTGTCTAATTCTGTAGTCTTGAGTTGCAATTCATCCCCTGAGTTACTCAGCAATGTAATGTCATCGGCGAAGCGCAGGTTACTAAGGTACTCTCCATTAACTCTTATTCCTAACTGTTCCCATTCTAGGCTTCTGAAAACCTCCTGTAAGCATGCGGTAAATAGCATTGGGGAGATTGTGTCCCCCTGCCTTACAACCTTCATGATTAGTATTCTGTTGCTTTCTTTATGAAGCACTATGGTAGCAGTTGATCCCCTGTAGATTTCTTCCATGGTGTTTATATATACTTCATCGACGCCCTGATTTTGCAGTGTTTGCACGACTGGTGATATTTCTACTGAATCAAACGCTTTTTCGTAAAAAATGAAGACTACGTATAGTGGTTGGCTGTATTCTGAGCATTTCTATATCACCTAATTGATAGTATAAATGTGGTCGATTGTTAAGTAGCCTGTTCGAACTTTTGCTTGTTCCTTTGGTTAATTGAATTCAAATGTTTTCTTTACTCTGTTAGCAATTACCTTCGTAAATAGCCCTTATACTAAAGAGAGCAAGCTAATCCGCCTGTAGTTCTTCAAGTCCTTGTCATCTCCTTTATTATGTATTAAGATGATGTTAGCGTTCTTCCAAGACTCTGGTACCCTTCCCGTTAGGAGACACCTCGTAAACAGGGTGGCTAGTTTTTCTAACAAAATTTGTCCTCCATCTTTCAGCAGATCTGATGTTGCCTGATGCTCACCAGCAGCTTTGCCTGTTTGCATGCTCTCCAAAGCTTTTCTGACTTCTTCTATCATTACTGGTGGGGTGTCATCTGGGTTACTGCTAGTTGTTATAGTATTAAAGTCGTCGTTGTCCCGGCTACTGTACGGATCTCTGTAAAACTCCTCCGCTTTTCTAACTATCCTATCCATATTGGCAGTTATTTTGCCTTTTTCGTCCCTTAGTGCATACATACGATTTTTGCCTATCCCAAGTTTCCTCTTCACTGCTTTGACGCTTCCTTCGTTTTTCAGAGCGTGTTCAATTCTCTCCATGTTATACCTTCTTACATCGGATACATTACGCCTATTAATCAGCTTCGAAAGCTCTGCCAGTTCTATTTTGTCTGTTGTACTTGAGACTTTCATGATTTGACGCTTCTTAATGAGATTCTTCGTTTCCTGGAAAGATTGCCAGTGTCCTGCCTAACTACCCTGCCTCCAACTTCCGCTGCACACTCCGTAATGATACTCGTCAGATTATCATTCATTGTATCTATGCTAAGGTTGGTTTCCTCACTAAGAGCCGAGTACCTGTTCTGAAGCGAGACTCTGTATTCCTGTACTTTCCCTCTCAGTGCTAGCTCATTGATTGGCTTCTTGCGTATCAGTTTCTGTCGTTCCTTCCTTAAATCTAGGCGAATTCGAGACCGTACCAATCTATGGTCACTGCATTGTACCTTGCCAACCACTTCCACATCCTGCACGATGCCTTGGTGTGCACTCATTATAAAGTCTATTTCGTTCTTATTTTCGCCATAAAGGCTTCTCCATGTCCACTTGCGGTTTCCTCGTTTTCGGTAGAAGGTATTCAAAATCCATAAATTATGGCGTTCTGCAAATTCTACTAGTAGCTCTCCTCTGGCGTTTCTAGTACCGATGCCATAATCTGCTACTGCCTGGTCTCCCGCCTGCTTCTTCCCTACCTTTGCATTAAAGTCTCCCATAAGCATGTATACTGTGTTTTTACCCTACTCATTGCCGATTCCACGTCTTCACAAAAGCTTTCAACTGAAGCGTCATCAGGGCTGGATGTAGGCGCGTAAGCCTGTACCACCTTCATCTTGTATCTCTTATTCAGTTTATTTCGATACCTACCACCCTTTCATTATAGCTATAGTATTCCTCTATATTGCCAGCAATGTTTCTGTGAATTAAGAACGCCACTTCCCCGTTCTCTTTTGTCAGCCAAGCCCCCATAGCAAAGGACATGCCCATTCTGTAGCACTGTATAGGCCTCATCTGTCCTCCTAACCTCACTGAGCCCTATTATATACCATTTAACACCCTCTAGCTCCTCGAATAGTACAGCTAGACTTCGCTCACTAGATAAGGTTCTAGCGTTAAACGTTGCCAAGTTCAGGTTTCAATGGCGGCCTGTCCGGATCCAGAGATTCTTAGCGCCCTCTGCTGCGTTGCAGATGTGACCGCCGCCGTGGTCAGTTGCTTCGCAGCTGCTGGGGACTGAGGGCCGTGAGTTATTTGACGTATGCATGTGGGAGGTAGTGGCCAGATACTGCACCAGGGTGGCCAATCCTTCTCTGTTGAGGGAGTGCGTTTCCGGCGGTGGTTACCGGTGAGGCTGCACCCCAGGTCTCGTAATGCAGTTCCATCACCACGCGGAGTTTCTTTTTCTTATTATCATAAAAACTTTCATTGGCGACTTCCTGCTTAAAGGTTTGACAGATCTTTAGTGCGCACCTCTTGATTATGCCGATTCTCCACATATCGGTCTCAGCTTCCTTCACCATCTTCTTAACCGATAATTTGTTTTGGTTTGGCCCCTGCTGTTTTCCAAGTATATACCAGTAAATTTTCTGGTGCGATTACCCCATTTCGTATCGACATTCTTCATGTACAAGTATCTGAATACCTTCCTAGCCCGACGCTCCTCTTCATTTTCTCTCAATCGCTTCTCAAATTTTATCTTGCTGCTAGCTTCCCTTCCCTCAAATGATGTCCATCCCATATCACTTTGTACTCCCTGATATCGTGTATTCCCGTGAGCTCCTAAGGCAAGCCTACCTATTCCACGTTGCTTAATTTCTAATCTTGCTTGAACTTCTGATCTCGTGCACAAGACCTCGTTGCCTAACGTCACACCAGAAACCATGACACCTTTCCATATTCCTCTCACATCATCATATCTATTGTAATTTCACAATGTCCTGTTTTTCATTACTGCTGCATTCCCGTTACCTTTAGTCGTCACGTATATTTCGTGTTACGTTACGTACTCGGCCCAAGTGATTTTTCATACGCCCGGATATTTGTATTTATCTGTCATCTCTAGCGTGACCTCCTGTATTCTAAGCTCACTACCTTCAATGTCACTAAAATCATGACTGCTGATTTTCCTTAATGAATCTGAAATCTAACTTATCTTCCTCTTTACCGCCGAAGTCCACCAATCTCTGCGAATCTTCCTTGTTGTCGGCCATCAGCGCTATATCAACTGCGTACATCAATGCAGGTAGTGCCTTTTCAATGAGTTTTCCTTGTTTGACAAAAGAGAGGTTGAAGCCGAGTCCACTTCCCTCACATTTTGTCTTCAATACTTGTAGGTATATCATGAATAATAAGGGTGACAGGGGACAACCCTGCCTAATCCCCCGTTTTCCTCTCTGCAGGCTTGGATACCTGTTTTTCCCACTTTATAACTACGTTGTTACCTTTATAGATATCCTGTAAACGATTAGTGACTACAACTTCGCTGCCTAGTGTGTACAGTACTCCCCACAATTCCTCTTGAACCACGCTATCGTACGCTCCCAGGATATTATAAAACGCTAGCCACAGGGGCCCGTGTTCCTTTTCAGCAATTTCGATGCACTGCGTCAGTGAGAACAGATTGTCTTCGAACCTCCTGTGCTTCCGAAACCAATTCTTCAGTTCTCCCAGCACCCCCTCATCCTCTATCCATGCCTGCAGTCTTTCCTTTATAATCTGCCTCGCCAGCCTGTAGACCACTGATGTCACTGTTATAGGACGGTAGTTGTCTATGTCATCTTTGTCCTCTTTTCCTTTATAGATCATGTTCATTCTGTTAAGTTTCCATCCATCGGGAACTTCACCATCGATTATTATTTCGCTCACTGCCTCTCTCATAGGCTGCTTAGACTTCGGAGCTAATGTCT